TCTCCCGAGATCCCGATTTCCCGACGGTCGCGCCTCCTCCTCCGTCCTTAATCCGTCTTGGCACTGCGGCGAAAAAGCACTCGCGTTTCCTGCCGCACACTCGCCTCCCGCATCTCNCTTTTTTCCNCTACTCTCTCTCTCTCTCTCTCGTCTCTCTCTCTCTCTCTCTCTCTCTCTCTCTCTCTCTCTCTCTCTCTCTCTCTCTCTCTCTCTCTCTCTCTCTCTCTCTCTCTCTCTCTCTTCACTTTTACCCCGTATCCTCCATAGCCTTTCCCTTTTGCGCTGGATATCCGGGGCTACTTTTACCTCTCTCCAATGGCAGTACAGATAAACCATAGTTTAAAATTATTAAAAAATGGGAATCTTTCTTTTACTATACCGCGGCCGCTTGCCTTGCAGCTGACACCTTGCCTTTGACCCTTCGAAATACCATTAAATCAACCCGCGCGTTATATAGGAAACAAAAACCTGTCAATACGGTTGGTTAGAAAAATTAATTCGTTAATTAAATTATTAATTACAAAAGCAACAATAAAGTATCTCATCAATCCCTGCCATCTCCTCTCGCAAAAGTACGAAGTGCTGAGAAGAATGCACCAGTTAAGATATATCATATCTTTTTCTTCTTTTGGTTTGAAAAAGATTAATTTTAAAATTCAATTTTATTCAGTATTATATTCTATGTAATATTCAACTCAACGTAACATTCAATTCACTTTAATGCAAAGGTGCACAGGTAGTTACAAGAGATTTTCGCTCCGTCCTTGAAACTCGCCAAAATTCTGATCGTACATCTTCAATAATACTATCCTGCTTTTCCAGATCCTCGAACAATCCCCATTCTCGCGTCCCTCGCTAACCCATCGGACGTGATACAATCATTATTTTTTTCTTTTTATATAGATACTAGTTTTATCCGCAACGAACAATATCATTTTATTTAATGCTATGTAAACCCACACAGCATGAAATGTTTTAGAAATATTTTCAAAATAATTTATTGCACCTTGCCTTCGGCCCACACGAAGTTACGCAAATTAAGTAGACCGACTGCATTTGCACACTAACGCTTTTCATGCACCGCAGGCCTTAGACACGCACGTATATACGCCACGCGTACGTACACGCACGCACTCTCATACGATGGACATATACAAGTTATACCGTTACAGGTAAATATCTCTCGCAAACATTAACTATTCTGATTTAAAGAAAGAAAATTATGAAATTTCTTGCCCTTTCCTAAGGACTATCCGAACCCGAAAAGGAGGTCGCAAGAAGGCTCTAAGGCGGCTCCGAAAGGATCTCTATCAGGCCGGGGAGTCTGACCCTTCAGTTTTTGACGCCGTGCCTTTCCAAGACGCCTCCGACTCGAAGCCCCATCATCCGAACCTTTCGCCTTGGAACAGCGTCCATCGCAGGATCTTCCTCCTCCTCGGAGTCCTCCTCGGAGTCCTCCAGCGGCACCCCGCGTCATTCCACGTGCCATTATGCCTCCATGCATCACCCCGCAGAGGCTTTCGACTGATGGTCCCTTCGAAAGGGGAACAGTCCGGGCACCAGTTAGTGGCCAGACAGGCACCCCCGCGTCGTGACCCTCTGTGCAAGGAACTACCCCCAAGTCCGTGAATCATAAAGAATAAGAGGTGTAAAATAACTATTACACTCATCAATAAAAATTAAAAACGATAAATTCATCTCGTCATTTCCTCCTTACCATCCCATCCCGCATGGCACGAAATGATGAGTAGGGTGCACAAGTTAAAGATTACATTTTTCCTTTTTTTTAAAACAGCTTATCCAACCAAAGTTAGATCCTTTTAATATTATATTTAGTACAACAGTCAATTCATTTGATACAAAAGTGCACAGGCAGTTGCATAGATTTCCGCTCGGCCCTGAGACTCGCTAATTCTGATCGTGCCCCTCCAAAAGTATAATACTCCTTTAAATCCTCATCACTTCTTCCAAGAACGATCCCACCCTTGCGTCCTTCACGAATCGCCGTACGTGATAAATCAGTTAACAAAATTATTATTATTTCTATGTATAACGCTTATATTAGCCTAAATATATCTTTGTTTAAATGCTGCGATTTTTTGAATAAACATATTGTTTAAATAAAATATTATTTAATACTTTGACTAGTGAATTCCTGTTGTAATACTTAATTCATGATCAATAGGAAAATATCTCTGATATGTCGAGAGCTGCATTATATGAACCATAATTAATATGAGACCTATACCAAAACGCCGCGCCGTCAACAAACTGATTTTGATTTTAACTATAGAAGGCTCAAACTATAAAGATCATATTTATAAAATATTAAAGTTAAATAAAAAATAAACCATACCAAAGAATAATTAAATATAAGAAATAAAAATTATATGTTATATAAATTATATACTTTATACTATTAAATACTTTATATGTAATTTTAGATTGAATAAAAATAAAATTTTTACTCTAAAATAATAAAACTCTTTGAGAGTGAAACAAATAGATATAAGTGAAACAGATAGAATGAAACAAATAGATATAAGTAGAAAAATTAAAAGATAAATAATTTTGTTTTTAATGAATATAACGCATTATTTTAATAATAGTTTGTTGTTTTTCTTTTAATATATAAGTATTTAATAAAATCATTCTTAATTGAATAATTAAAACCACCATTCATAAATGGACGGAACTCTTGCTATATACTTTCTAAATTTTCTGGAGCAAATCTCACTCCAATAGATTGAAAATACTACCACTCGGTCACTTGAATGGAAGTATTTTCATTCTTTTGGAGTGAGATTCAAAAGAGTGAAAAGTCTCACTTCAGAAAATTTAGAGAATACAATTCAACACCCAAATATAGGTAGCATATTAGTTAAAGTGATATATAGAACATTTATTATTTAAATATAATATATTTTCGCAAATAATATTTATTTGAGATTATGTTAAAATCTTTTTTAATTACAATTATATTAAAAGTTTATTTCTTATTCTCAAATAAAGTTCCTTTTTTCTTTGTTTGTTACTTATGAATTTTAACTTGCAGAATATTTCAGGTGGATAGATTTGTAACTTTTTATAAGATTTATGTTGACTTCTAATTACGTGACATGCAATATATTATTGCAATATTGTGACGTCTGTTAACAATATCGTAGACTTGAGTGATATAGTAATCGATAAAAGTATATCAACCGGAAATTATGAGATTATATACTTACAATTAGATAAATGAACAATTCCAATATGATAAATGAAAAATTCCAATTCTTTTAAGAAAAGTATGACGGTGACAAAAATGAATTTAATTAAAACTGTCTTCTAAACTATTATCAATTAATAAGTGCATAAACTATAAATAACGATGTTTTATCGTGCGATACCGAATTGAGAAAAATTCAGAAAAGCGATACAAGCACTGATTTATATCTTCATTGCAACTATTTTAAGAGTATATATAAACCTATGAATGCCTACATACATACATTTGCTTCAGATGCAGGCAACAAATCAAGAATCAAAGATGCAGGCGTTCGCTAGTCTTATACTACTCGCTCTGGCATGCGCCACTGAAGGTATGTACAAATTTATAATAAATTATACATATTTTAACATAATAAGGAAAGAATGAAAGAGATAAACGTTTTTTTTTCTAAATGCACGAAACAATTAATTTCCAATAAACTTCTTAATAATAATTTAAGTTTTCATTAATATGATATTTATGGTTTCTGTAAATATTGCAACATATATTTATTACATATATTGTTCTAAAAAGAATTAATTTATATATAAAACACATATACTATTTCTTACCTGTTTTCAACCATTAACTTTAAATATAATTTCAATAAATTTGCTAATTAATTATATAAAGGAATCTAGGAGAATACATATCCTCTATTTTCATTTTTAACTCTAGCATTCTTTAAATACATGTATTTTAATGTTAGACATTAATGAAGAATAAGATCTTTGATAAAAACAAAAATGTTTTATTCGAAATAAAACTTTATTCTAAATATAACTTTTCTGAACAGGACATTTAATCGTAAGTCGATGCGAAATTTAATTGTTATCGTTAAAAATTGTTTATATATAGTAATGTACCTTTTTATTTTACACTGACATTAACATAATTTATTTTTGTCAATAAGGTGCTCCATCTCCTCATATCGTCGGCGGTAACGATGCTCCCATCGGCAAATATCCATATCAAATATCATTAAGATATAATAATGGCTCGCACATATGCGGTGGATCTATCCTTGATAAAGTTAACATATTAACCGCAGCACATTGTGTCATCGGGTAAGTTAGACATTCTAAATCTACATGTATTAATATGTATATTATTAGTGGACAGAATTTAATTTTAAAACTAGTCTTTTTTTAACGCGTCAAATAGACAATATCAGTAAGCAAAGTAACTTTTTATGATTAATTATAACCATTAAATACTTTATTGTCTGTTTTACAATAAAAATATGTTTTTTTAAATAAAAATATAAATTTTTATTTTAAGAGTGTTCCATAATTAATGCCCTTATTCTATTTCTGGTGTATTCTACTGATATTTTATTTATATTTTATTTATATATTAGTTTAAACACTTGACACCAAGCCAATACCATGTCTCCTGATTTAAAAAATTTATAGCAAACATTTTCAAAATCTGTTTTCAACAGTTTAGCTATCTATACTTATATATGTATTTATGTGTGTGTGCTTTCTTTACTAGAATGGAAAATGAGCTGAATAATCTAAAGGTTCATGCCGGTACAAACTCTTTGGATAAATCAGGAGATGTCTATGAGATTGAAAGTTTTAGCAAAGCAGACTACGACGACATTTCACTCATTAATGACATTGCTGTGATTCATCTTAAATATCCTATCGCGTACAACACAACATTTGTCATGCCGATAAATCTTGCGACATCCGATAAAGACCTTGAAGGCAAGCCGTGCACATTAACCGGATGGGGAAGTACACGGGTAATATCGAACTCGTAATACGAGTAGTTTTTTTATTTACACGTATCCAAGAATTGAGATATTCTTTTCTTGAAGAAATTATTTTTTTTTCCACAATAACAAGTTAGAATTAAGTAACAAAACAGAGAACATTTTGATAATAATTATTTGCTGTTATTCGTCATTTGCTCCGATTCAACAGTATATTACAATACATTTATTCTTTTTAGTTTGGTGGAAATTGTTCTAATAACTTACAAGAAATCAAGTTGAAAGTTTATCCGCAGAAAGACTGTAAAGCAGTACAACGAAAAGTGATAGATAGTCACATCTGCACTTTGACTAAGGAAGGAGAAGGAGCATGCGACGTAAGTTGTCAATCATTAATATTATAAATATTATATAAAATATTAAGTAAATTGCTTATTATTGCAAATTATTATAATTATTGTTAAGATTATTTTAATGCTAAAGCAAAAACGTAATTGACATATAATTACAAATTTAATACTATAACATTTTTTGTATTATGAATAAAAACATATAATATATTAGTATATATTATTAATTTATTGTATCATTATAAATTATTTTTAGTGTTATACAAAATATATACCATACATATATCTATATATCAATATAGGTGTTATATATATATATAAATATTTATACGCCTATATTGATATATAGATATATGTATATTGTATATATTCACTAAAAGAGAATTATAATGATATAAAAAATTAATAATATACAAATATATTATATGTTTTTATTTATAATACAAAAAATATTATAGTATTAAATTTGTAATTATATATAAATTAAGCTTTTGCTTTAACATTAAAATGATTATAACAATAATCATAATAATTTGCAATAATAAGCAATTTATTATAATTGTATGTAATATTTTATTATTAAATGCATCTTCATTTCAGGGTGATTCTGGTGGACCGTTGGTGGCCAATGGAGTCCAAATTGGAATCGTTTCCTTCGGTAATCCTTGCGCACTTGGATACCCAGACATTTACACAAGAGTGACCAGTTTCACATCTTGGATCGCTAAGAATATGAAGGAATAGAAAATATTATTTACTTATTACAACACGATTAATGTTACAAGATTTAGAATTCAATTAATAACATTATTTAAACATACATACATTATTTTAGTGAAATATTTTTCCCCTATAAGTTAAATAAACTGTCCATTTTCAACAGTGATCTGTGTTTTATTCACGTTGACGATATTATTTTATTTAAGTTATGTAAAATTTATAAATTTATAAAATGTTATCATAAACGTGTTTAATAAATTCAGTATAGAAAAAATCTTTTAAAATATAAATAAAAAAATTTGATAGAGAAGAGAATAAAAATAGATGATTTTATTATAAAGTTAAAAAAACATTAAAGTTTATGATGCATAAAATTAAATATTCACAGATAAATTTTGCGATTAATTGTCTTATAATTAAATAAGATTCCAAACTATATCTGTGATTAAAATAACACTTATGTATAACATTTATGTACGTTCTAAAAATTGTTATTTAATCAAAGTTATTTAATATTTAAAAACTTATTTTTACATATCAACATGCGCATAATATCGCGTACATATTAAATGTTTGTCTATATAGGTATACGTGTATATAATTTTTTAAAATATTATGTTTTTAAGTACTATTCCCATCCTTTATATTTTCAAAAATTTAAATTTATTGTAAATTGCACTTGAAATTTTTATTTAGAACATTTTTTCATATCTTTAACGATTTAGATGATATTCATTTAGGAAGAAAAAGCTTATGTTTTTAAAGCGAGAGTTTCATCGTCTCATCAATAAAAACGTATTTACACAAAAAATTGTGTCTCTTATTTTGTCTATATTTTAATACATATATTCAAAGTGTATTAAAATTATAGGGGAACACTCAGTGTGTTCTCTTGTAAGAAAAGTTATGACAGTAAAAAATGTGAAACCATCACATTTATCAATTAATAAGAACTGTAAAATATAGATAATAATATTTTATAGTGCAATTAAAATTATAGGGGAACACTTGGTGTGTCTTCTTGTAAGAGAAGTTATGACAGTGAAAAATGTGAAAGTATCACTTTTATCAATTAATAAGAGCTGTAAAATATAGGTAATAATATTTTATAGTGCGATTAAAATTATAGGGGAACACCTGATGTGTCCTCTTGTAAGAGAAGTATATGACAGTGAAAAATGTGAACCTATCACTTTTATCAATTAATAGGAACTGTAAAATATAGATAACAATACTTTATACCACGTTGCGAAACCACGTGCGATACCACGTTGAGAAAAATTCAGAAAAGCATTATAATCACGTGATAATATCTTTCTTGCAATTACTTCAGAAACATATATAAAGCTACGAATAAATCTATTCGCTTCAGTCCCAGGCAAGAAATTTATAATCAAAGATGCGTGCGTTCACTTGTCTTGTATTTGCCATTGTCCTCATATACGTCACTGAAGGTATTTATCAATTATTATAAATATTTTACTTTTCAATAAATTTGTAATTTTCTCGAATAGCTCTTTTAAACATAAAATTAACACAATATTTGTGATTTTATAATTATTGTTGTTAAAAGTGTGTATAGGACTTTCCAATAAGAGACGCATATTGACACAAAAGTCATTCTGTCTTTCGACATTTAGTGAAAGACAAAGAATGATTTCTGTGTCGACATGTGAATGGGCGGCGACTTTTGTGAGGTTTGTGTGGAGTACTTCACACAACAGAATTTATGTGTGGAATTCCACACGTTTCCACAATTTTTTGAAAATAATTAAAAGACATCCGAAAATTAACTATAACATCTCTCGAAAACGTTGTTACGATTCTTCGAAAAAATAAAGCCGAGGTCTCAGAGTATAAAACTAATTCAAATATTATTAACAGTACCGGTGACGACGTGTACTGCAGAACGTTCTTTTTTTGTCTTGAGAAGATTGAAAACATATTTGCGTTCTACAGCAAGGTCAGTTAAATTCAATAGCTATATTGCATGTGCACTCCGATATTGCTGAGACTTTGAATATTGATGCACAATGGATAAATTCATTATAAAAATAATATTCGGTGTTTCACGTTTGCTCTAAAATACTCTAAGTGTTTCAACAAGTTAAACAAAAATATTTATAAGAATTTATTGATAGAAAAATTTCATCGTTCATTATTCTCTTGGTCTTGATATCAAAGTCTACATAATATAAAAAAGTCTATAAAAATCTATATAAAGAGGTCTATAAAGAGATTTACTTTCCCCTCGGTGACCAATTTCACACAAATAGTGCAGTAGTTTAGCAAATCGACAAGTCGCTGCCTTGGATTGGTCTCTTGCTGTAAAGCTCATATTATATATAAAATAATGTATATTATTTGGCGCCTGTAATTAATATTAATTAATTTTTGTATATAATTAAGGAGCTCCATCTCCTTATATCATTGGCGGTGATAAAGTTCCCATCGGCAAATTTCCGTATCAAGTGTCACTGAAATCAAACGGCTCGCACGCATGCGGTGGATCTATCATTGACAGTTTGAATGTATTAACTTCAGCATACTGTGTTGTCAGGTATGTGCAAACATCCTTAATTTATATTAATACATTATTATTGGAATCTAATTAAAAAACTATAAGTCTTTTAACACATTAAACGGATGAAGTATATAGCCAATAAGAAAATTGCCGGTAGTATAACAACGGCTTGACAGCATAGCATATTTATTTAGATATTGTAACATTCTCACCGATCTCGCGTTTTGTCGTTTTGTTAGATTACATAGGCAAGGTCTGCTTATATAATCTAACAGTAAACTATTACCGGCAGAAACCATAACAAAATTATTTCGTAAATATATAAATGGAATACATTTTTTTAAATATTTTCAAATAGTCACAAAGTAACAGATTCTGTTTAATTTTTGCAGTCAATGTGTTAGCATGGATTCTGTTACATTTCTACTTGGTTTCTATACACCAAAATATATAGCAGCACTTTTGAAATCTGATTTGAGTTCTTATATACTTTTTTATCGTTAGATTGCAGTGTTCACTGGATATCGTAAAGGTCCATGTCGGCACAAACTTTTTGAGCATACCAGGATTTGTTTATGACGTATCCAGTATTACCGTCCACCAAAATTATGACGATTATTTACTCGTTAATGATATTGCCATGATTCACCTTAAAAATCCTATTAGATTTAACAAGCTAGTAAAGCCAATTAAACTTCCGACGAAAACATCTAATTTTGAAAATTTTGAAGGCCAGTCATGCACATTATCCGGATGGGGATCTACAGCGGTAATATCAAACTTGTGATACAGAAATTTTCCAGTTATACATAAGAAGAATCAATTAAAAAATGAGACACTCTTTTAGAGAAAATTTATTATCTTCTCTTTATATGTAATAACAAAATTAGAAGTAATAAGTCGGAAAATATTTTGATAATAATCATTCGCTCTTATTTATTTATTTTGATTTTTAACATGACGATATAATTATCCTTTTTAGTTTAATAATCCAAAAAATGTGTCAAACAACTTGCAAGAAATTAAGGGAGTAGTTTATTCGCAGAAAGAGTGCGCGAAAAAACATTGGAATTTGATAGATAGCCATATCTGCATTTCATTGTCAAAAAATAACACAGGACCATGTTACGTAAGTCATCTAATATTAATATCATAAAACAAATTGACACACACACACACACACATATTTGATACAATATCAAAAGAATTCAGTATATAACATTAATATTTTAATATTAATCTTTATTTTAGGGCGATTATGGTGGTCCTTTGGTGGCCAATGGAACTCAAATTGGAATCGTTTCCTTTGAACATCCTTGCGCGGGAGATAGTCCGGATATTTACACAAGAGTGTCCAGTTTCCTATCTTGGATCGCTACGAATTTGGAGAATTAAAATGAAAAATACCTATCACTTACTTTATTTATTAAAATCTATATGGGATCTTATGTGGTTTATAATTTAATCAATTGTATAGCATAGTATAGCATAGTATAGTATAGTTTGAGCAAAATTATTTCTGCAAATTATATGCTTCTTCTATCAGTTAAATAAATTGTCAATGCCAATAGCAAAATGAAAACAAATTGTTATTATTTTATATAGAAACTTTTCAACAATGATTGTGGTTTTATCCGCAATGAACAATATCATTGTTTAACCGAAACAATAATAAACATTGTTTCGGTAATCTCTATATGACAGACATATTGCGGGATATCTACATCAATATGTACTATTAACTAAAGTACACGAGACACAAGAATCATCATAATATGCACTGCAGTATGTTGCAGTATGTGTATTTCGAATATTCTGAGAATTTACGTAATATACATTAATTTATGATGTCCCGCAGAATGTTTTTAGAATTAACGTATGCTGTAGGAATTAAACTATCACTTTTAGCTATGCAATTATTAAGAGCTGTAAAATATAGATAACAACACTTTATCATGCGATATCACATTGAGGAAACTTCAGAAAAGCGTCATAAACGTAATTTATAGCTTTCTTGCAATTGCTTCAGAAATATATATAAAGTTATAAATGAGTCTATTCGTTTTAGTCCCAGACAAGAAATTTGTAATCAAAGATGCATGCGTTTACTTATCTTATACTTGCCATTCTTGTATACGCCACTGCAGGTATTTACAAGTTATAAATACTTTCTTCTAAATAAATTTGCAATTTTTTCGAATAGCTCACTTAGACATAAAATCGATTCAATTGTTGTTCTTAAAAGAGTATATAGAGTATACTGTATATTCTAATAAGAAACACATATTGATACAGGAATCATTCTATTTTTGTTTGACGATTTAGGGAAAGACAAAGATAAAATGATTCTTATGTCGACATGCGTCTCTTAATTGCTAAAAAGCTCTCATTATAGTATCACGTATATTATTTGGCGCCTGTAATTAATATTAATTAATTTTTATATTAATTTTGTATATAATTAAGGAGCTCCATCTCCTTATATCATTGGCGGTGATAAGGTTACCATCGGCAAATTGCCATATCAAGTGTCACTGAGATTAAACAACTCCCACATATGCGGTGGATCTATCATTGACAGTCTTAACATATTAACTGCAGCATATTGTGTTGTCGGGTATGTCAAACATCCTTAATTTATATCAATACATTATTATTAAAATTTAATTGTAAAACTGTAAGTCTTTAACACGTTAAACGGATGAAGGTATGTCCAGTAAGAAAATTGTCAACAGTATGACAATGGATTGACAGCACAGCATATTTAGATATTGTAACATTATCGTAACAATCGATGTACACATTAATCTCGCGTTTTACTAGATTTATATAGGCCAGAGCCTATTTATATAAATATATAATAAGCTATTATCCGCGGCAGAAATCGTATAAAAATCTATAATTTCGTAAATAGGTATTTAAATGAAATACAACATTTATTATTTTTAAATAGTTATATGAAACAGCAGCAGATTCTGTTTAATTTTTGCAATCAATGTGCTTATTGTGTTAGCATGGATTGTGTTACATTTCTACGTGGTTTTTATGTACCAAAATATATACAGACACTTTCAAAATCTAATTTGAGTTCTTATATATTTTTTTATCGTTAGATTGCAGTGTTCATTGGATAAACTAAAGGTCCATGTCGGTACAAATTTTTTGAACGTATCAGGATTTGTTTATGACGTATCCAGTATTACCGTCCACCAAAATTATGACGACTATTTACTCATTAATGACATTGCATTGATTCACCTTAAAAATCCTATCAGATTCAATAAGCTAGTGAAGTCAATTAATCTTCCGTCATACGTTGGAGATCCCGAGGACCAGTATTGCACATTGTCCGGATGGGGAGCTACAGGGGTAATATCAAACTTGTGATGCAGATTTTCTAGTTATACATATATAAATATAAGAATAGGACACTCTTTTAAAGAAAATTTATTACTTTCTGTTTATATGTAATAACAAGAATTAAAAGTAATAATTAGTGAAAAGATATATATAGACAATAGCGAATAATTATATTTTGATAATATAATTATTCGCCATTGTTATTTGCTTTGATTCTTAACATGACGATGCAATCCTTATCTTTTTTAGTTTCATTCTCCAAGCAATATGTCAAATAACCTGCAAGAAATTACGGGAAAAGTTTATTCGCAAAAAAAGTGCGCGGAAGAACATTGGCATTTGATGGATAGCCATATATGCATTTTATTGTCAAAATATAACGCAGAAACATGTTACGTAAGTCATTGACTGTTAATATCGTAAAACAAATTGACACACACACATACACTAACATATGTTTAACACACTATTAAAAGACTATAATTAATAATATAAATTATATTTATAACACAATGATTAAAATGATTATAATATTAAAAGCACGTATAATTATATGCCAATTCAACTTTGGGCTTAATACAAATCGATAATAGGTATATACATATATATAAATATATACCTATATATATCTTTACTATATCTTTAAAATATAAATATAAATATAAAAATTATAATATTAAATTTTAATACTAAAATATAATTATAAGTTGGTTAAATTTTTACATAAAAATTATTGCAAATTATTATTATAATAATGATTTGCAGTAATAACAACAATTTATTACTGCTGTGTGTATATAACATTATTATTTTAATATCAATCTTTGTTTCAGGGTGATTATGGTGGACCTTTGGTACTCAATGGAACTCAAATTGGAATAATTTCCTTTAAATCCCCTTGCGGGGGTGATAATCCAAATATTTACACAAGAGTGAGAAGTTTCACATCTTGGATCTATACAAATTTGGAGAGATAAAAGATATTTATTTCATTTATTAAAATTCTATGGGATTTTACGTAATTGACAATTTAATTAATAGTATAGTTTGATCAAAATTATTTTTGCGAAATATATGCTTTTTCTGTTAGTTAAATTAATTGTCAATGCAAATAATAAAATAAAAACAAATTAATCATTATTTTTTATATATTTAAAGACAATGGTTGTTGTTTTATTCACAATAAACAATATCATTTTATTTATGCTATGATAATCAATAAAGAATTTAATTTAAAACAATCCTTTAAAATAAAAGTAAAAAGAAATTATAATATATTAATCTGGCTCATATAATTACAAATTAAGAAGTATCCAAAGAAGGGCAAGTGAGCCTTGCACGAAATTAGTGCTAAAATTACATATATTTAAACAATAATCATTGTCACCCAAACGTTTCGGCTCCGCATTGAGCCTGTCTCTTATACACA